CCCCCCAAAACGCATGACGATTCATATTATCTGGATTACGCATAGCTTCTCTGTGATTTTCGCTCTGTATATCTTAAGCGAAGCTTCCCCCCCCCCCCCAATACATTTTGCTGGATCCGCCACTGACACACACACACACACACACATACAGCGGGTAACTGCGAAGACTCCTATTGTGTGCTTCGCACACGGGAGTAAAAAATGTTGGGACTTATAAACAACACTGAGAACACAGTTGAAAAATTGAATTTTTTTAGACAAACACTTATTCTTTGTCTTCCGTTTGCAAAGCACACAATGGGAGTCTTTGCAGTTACTATGTCTGTCTGTTCCACAATTATCACATGAACCACTGGTATATAGATGCTTTGAGACAATGCGCAGATCTGATTAGTTTCGAGTTGAAATTTATGCATAATGATTTCCTGATTTTCTACCTATATCTCAAAAAACAATTATTGCATTTCAATACAAGTGCCTGGGAACAGTGCTACAGACCTGGTTAGTTCTGGATTGAAATTCATGCTTACTAATTGCATAATTTGCATATTACCGGATGCATAATCATCCCTGTGTACACAATTTTCACTCAGTAATACAGGAATTAAAGAAAATGTATAAAAAAACTAAAAAGAACTACAGCAACACATATTTCTTCAATGTTGGGGTTTTAATTAGAAGACAACTTTATTAAAAGTTATTTTGCTGTGAAAAAATAGTTAACAAATTATTGTCCATATAGACATATGACACATATTAAATATGAATTGACATACCTGGAAACGTCTTTATATTCTAGCTTCTCTGTTTTGACCATGACAATACGAAATATACTTCCATCACTGCTTACATACGGAGGAGTCATTTTTGTAAGTATACCAGTATAGTACTATCATAGATTACTGTAATTGTGTCCGAATAACGGCTTTCTTGGATTTCTTGTTAGGACTATATTATTTGTGTGACTTTCAAGCAAAAACATAATGATTACTGTCCATAATAAATACATATGGATAACAAAATTAATTAAAAATTTTGAGATTGTCGCCGTCTGTAAAAAAAACTCAGTTCCTTAATTGTTCAGACGGCAATTTTAAATAGAAAACTGGTCAAAGTGCATACAATCAAGGTTTTTAATCATTTGATAATTAGTTGCTTATGGTTATTACATTTCTAATTTTGTTGATCCATTGGTTTAGCATATTCAGCTGTTTTATTAGCAAAGTACAGGTCATGGTTAGAGAACTGCAAATATCCAAAAACTGGCATAGTGTTCGAGGATGCTATTAAAAAAACAAATTTTGTTTTCTTATTAGGTCTTCTATTACACATTTGCTATTTTGGGAATGGAATTATTTAACGGTAAGTTTGACTATTATGGCTACCCCGATGAGAACGGCACAATGCCAGATGGACAACCACTATATTGCGGAAATGAGAAGCTGAAAGATTCTGACTTCTGGACTATGCAGTATTGTAGTAATAATTTCAACGATATAATGAGATCGTTTGTATTGCTGTTTGAGTTGACCGTCGTTAATCAGTGGCATAATATCCTTTTTTTTAGCTCCGCTGTTGACTTTGTCGAGCGGAGCTTATCATATGAGTGATTGTCTGTCGTCGTCCGTGTCAATGTTTTACTTTTTCGACTTCTTCTTGAAAACTACAAGCCTGAATTCTTTGATACTTGGTGTATATGTACCTTGGGTAGACCTCTCTCAGATTTGTTCATTTCATGATCATATCTTCAATTCTCTAATTTTGGTGAATATTTTTGTCATTTTTGGTAAAAAGTAATATTTTTGACTTCTTGTTAAAAACCACAAGTCTTATTGCTTTGATAATATACATATAGGTAATACATGTGGACCTTTCTGAGATTTGTTCATTTTGTGATGATATTCTCAATTCCCTAATTTTGGTGAATATTTTTGTAATTTTTGGTAAAAAGTGATATTTTCGATTTCTTGTTAAAAACCGCAAGTCCAATTGCTTTGATATTACATATATAGGTACTACATGTGGACCTCTCTCTGATTTGTTCATTTTGTAATGATATCTTTAATTCTCTAATTTTGGTGAATATTTTTGTCATTTTTGGTAAAAAGTGATATTTT